TTTTTTTAAACAAAAAATCAATTATTTCATTAACATTTATTATTTTTGCGATACAAATTTCTCAATGTAATTTTCATCATTTTATTAGGAAATTTTCAAAAAATTTCGAAATTTTACATCTGAAAAAGTCATATCATATCCCATGTAAATTTTTAGATATAAAATTACATGGAGTATGATTTTTTTGGACGTAAATTTTCGATTGTAAAATTTATACCAACTTCTTTGTAAATTCGATTGTGCCCCACAACGTTAAAATTTTGCGTCCGTCCCTGGGTACATAGCACATGGTGGCCCGCGGCACCCTCCATGTGTCCATTATGGACACTATTATTAGAAATGTATTTCCCGACAGTTTAATTAAGATTTAGCTACTTGTACATAAAAAATGAATATAATAAATTACATAATATAATGTGGAGGAAAAATATTTGGTGAAAAAAATTAATTGTGTTTTAAACTAGGAAAATGTTGAGTGTTATGTGGTATTACATAATCAATTATATAAATGTTAATATACATGTAGCAATATCCGCTTAATTAAGGCCTTGTTTGACAATCACTAGTATAAAACTTTTTTTTTTTTCTTAAACTCATTTTCAACTAGACATTTTTGTAATAATTTTAACCACTTATTTTCAAAAAATCACTATTTCAAAACTCATTTTTCTCAAAAAAAAAAAAAAAATTATTTTAGTGGTTGTCAAATAGTGAGAAGTCTAATTTACTATTCAGAATTTGCATTTGGAGAGATAGATGGACTTACGCCTTCTATATGGAAGGGGGGAGAGAGAGAGAGAGATTTTAACGGTAAATTTAGGTCCCCCAAGATAGATTTTATTAAAATTTTGTTATCCTTAATTGATCAGAGATTAACAGATTTTAGTAAAATTTAGATATCACTAAATACTTGTGATAATTTTCATAGAATTAATGATTTCATTAAATGAAAGGATTTTAATAATTTTAGTAAAGTTCAAGTACATGAATACAATGATAAGTGTAGTTTATTAGGGGTCCTAAATGATGATATTTTATTATCGTTTCGATAAAATTCTACCTAATTTATGTAATATTGCGTTTTTGTAGGTAAAACATTATGTTTAATGAATAATTGAAGAAAAGAAGTGAAAAATGACGAAAAATGGCGAGATCCAAAGTTTATAGACTAAAATGTAAATACTCAAAAATTGTGCCGAAACTCATGATGAAGATTCAAGAATGCTAGGGGTCAAATGGGTGCAATTAGAAGACAAAAGCAGTGACAATATGACCAAAATATTATCACAAATCAATTTTCAATCGCACAAGGATGTTCTAGATTTTCAGCCAGAGATTGAGACCCATTTTTTGGCATAGTAAACATTCGAATTAGAAAATAGCTATTTCTATCAAAGTTGTATATCTTTGAGTTATCTTTCCAACTCATTTTGAATCACCGTAATCGGATATCGGGAGAAAAAGTTATGACAAAAATATTGAAATAGACGTAAAGTTTAGATAGCAAGTCAGCGCCCAGGCGCTATAATCCAAGCGCTCAGGCGATACGAAGTGACAACAGAAATAGAAATGCGGCGCCTAGGCGCTACGCCGCCATTTTAGGGTTTTTGTTGATTGGGCCGCAGGAAGCCCAGAAAAAGACTCCAATCTGGCCAAAGGACGTGTAAGGAAGTATAAATAGACTTAAGGATGCATTAATAAAGGGTTCCACACATTGAGAAAGAGGGATACAACGAGAGATTGAAGAGCCCAATTTAAAGAAGAGAATCATCTCGAAATTTCAGTTTAAAGTGTTGATTGGAAGCGAAAGAAGATCTTGGTGCAAGATTTAATTCGTTTCTACATCTTTATTAAAATCTGGTGATTCATTCTATTGCTTTTATTTTTACTTTTATATTATGAGTGACTCAACTTCATATTAGGGAAAACAATGTAATCGACTTGTGATCCTTTATTTTTCTATTCAAGATTTTATGTGATTTATTCTTATATGTGTTGGTTTTACTATGATTTTAATGCATTAAATTACCTGATCAATAATTTGATAATTATGTGAGTCTCTTACTAATCGAGAGGTGAGTTTGAGACTTAGACCATATAATAAAATCCGGTAAATTAGTATAACGTGTAGAGATACATTTACTAATTATTGCGATCATAATATGAATTCTTAGAACTAGTGTTTCGTTTATCTAAGGGTAATTCACATAAAGATATGAAATTGAATTAGTTAAATAGGCTCAATGAGAACTCGAGTGAGGTAAATTGAATACAATAGACGAATTCGACCGAATACTACATTAGGTTAAAATCTTGAATTAAGAATTAAAGTGATCAATAGATGAAATTATTTTGCCCTAATATTCATCATGTATTTGATTCTTTAATCAATCGTTATTTGCAAGAATTTAATATTTTCAATTAGTTAGAAGTAATTAGGAAAACATAATCTCACCCATCAAAATTCTTTGTTTATTTCCATCAAATAGGAGTTAAAAAAATTTAATTAAGGTCTAAAGTATAGTTCTTGTGGGAACGATAATCCAGACTCAAAGGTTCACTATATTACTTATTACGATATCGTACACCTGCGATAGAAAAAACGCAACAAGTTTTTGGCGCTGTTGTCGAGAATTATTTACTTTTAGTCTTAGTTTATTTTATTTTTATCTGTTATTTGATTTTATTTGTTATTTACTTTTCTTTGTTTAACTTTTTATATCGTTTAACTAACCCCCTACAATTTTAATCTATCATGTATTGGTATTTTCTCTTTGTATTTTTCAGATATTTATGCATGATTCTGACATTGATAAAGTAACAAAAAAGTTACAATGACAAATCTCTACATAGATTGTCAAGATATGCTTGAGGATATCTAAGTTGTGAAAATTGTTGCACGGTGCATTTTACTGGGAAATACTTGTTCTCTTGCACTAGTGTACACACGCCGAAACTTTTGAGATTTCGAAAATATTTGATGTGTAGAAAATAAGCAATTGAAAAATCTGATGAAAAGTACATGCTCATGGGAGATTTTGTACCGACGATTGGGATGCGGACATCGAGCTTGTGGGAGATGGTCCTTCCCTATTGAACATGAAGGTACTTGCACAGTACTTTAAAGAATTTGCCAAGTTGGATGGAAACGATATGTTAATGGGGGATTTCATGTACCGGGAATGATTTCAACAATGGAGGTACAATCCATTCGAAGGAGTCAAATGGATCGACTTCTCATTGTCTGTAGATCTAGACTGTAGATCGATAATTCAATCTGAAGATATATCAACTATGGAAGAGGGGATTAAAGAGAATGACGTGTTGATCACAACGGAATCAAATGAGGATGTGGCAATCAATGAGAATGAAATCAACTCACATTTTTCTGACTTTATTGATTGTCCAAAAATTGATTTTGTGATTAAGCCCAATGTAGGAGTGAAAGTCTACATAGTTGAAATTGAATCGGACGAAATAGAAAAGTCATATTACATCGAAAAGGGTAAGGTAGAAGTTTGGAGACTAAATGAAAAGTAGATCAAAGCCAAACGAAGGAAAATGGGCAAGAAATCCAAAGCGTTCTTTAGGTGCCCGTGATTCCATTGCCAAAGTCGAGCTAAAGACTATAAAAAAACGCTTCTTGGGAGGTAATCCAAACTTTTTTTTTCCATTTTTATTTATTTTGTTTTTGAATTTTATAATAGTTTAGTTTATTGTAAGTTTTTTTTCTTGGGACTCATTATCCATACCCCATTTCCCCTTAGGTCTTCGATGAGTTGGTTTATTAGATGTTAGAGTTAAGTAACACATGTTCAAGTTATTTGATCTTAATGTTTTATTTTATTTTTCAGAAATATGACGTCGTAGAACATTTAAATCAATATTGATCAAAGAGCCAACAGGAGCTATAAGAAAGCTAGCCATTGAATTAAAAGTCATATCAGGGGAGTCTTTTCTTCACTTTCTTCCCTACCACTTTATATGCGGATTAAGTATTGAAGACATTGAGGACAATGTCTAGTTTAAATTTGGGGGTGAAAAATATGAGTTTTTATTTTTTATGTGTTTTTGTGTGTTTTTATTGCTTTAATAAAAAATAAAAAAAATAATAAATAATTTTTTTTTATATGCTTGTGTGAGTTAGTTGGTCTGACTGGCAATGATAAATATATTGAATAATGAATTGATCTATGAATGGTGAATAAGTTGAATGCTTAAATTAATTTTTGCTTTTTCATGTGAAATTTGATATATATATTGAGCACATGAATTACATTAAGTATTGTGTAGGAATGTGTTGATTTCATAATTGGATATATTGGAATAGTGGACCATAGGTGTACAACAAAACTGTGATTTCGCGACATACGAAAAGTTGTT